TAATACATATAATGAAAACTAAAGAATATAATATAAGTAATAAAAGTAGACTATATAATATTTATATTAAAAAGTAGATCATTCAATATATATATTATAAAGTCGATCAAATGATATATGTATTATATGATATTTAGTATATTTATAGATCATCTAAGATGCAGTATGATTTTGTGACTAATAATTCTTTCCTTTTAATTTTTGAACTTTAAGAGAAATTTATTAGTTTCTTTCTCATTTCTGATAGAAAGTTAGTGAACATAATTAACTAAAGTCTTAAATCAAAAACTTTAAGTTGTTGTATAGTTGTAAAGTTGATAATTTGAGTCTATTAGATTTGTTCTACTCCTAAAAACTTAAACAAATAATAAATTCTGGTAATTCTAAGTCAATAATAAATAGTCACTATATTTCTTAACATCATTCTTTCAAAAGGATTAGTTAACTCAAGTTTTAAGAGTTATCCTAAATAATAAGTATTTATAAGAATAAGTACACAATTCCTTATTCTACATGCTTTTAATAATGCCTAATATGTATTTTGAACTTTTTGTTATAAGGTCATATCATTATTAAAAGGTGCTCTGAGAGGAATTTTAAGAGAAAAATTTTATTCTAAATCTTTACATAAAGGTCACAATTGTTGAGAAATAAGAATTTTAAACATTATAAAATATTTACTTTTCAATTTTATGTATTGAGAAGAGATATATATATATATAAAAGTAATAAAAAAAGATAAATAATCTAATCTTTATAATAAGTTTTTAATAACTATATATTTACTAGTATACGTAAAACTTGTCTTTTTATTTTACATAATTTATAAAATTTATTTATCAAAATTTCATGAATACAATAGGGTTCTTTTCATTTTGAATCTAATTTCCAGATCTTCTTATTTCATTTGCTACATTGTAATATAGGACTTTATCTACTATCTCAAATTAGGATTTCATCTTGATTTTTTTATTATGTTGATTTTCTGTTTTTGTTAACTATTTGTAATATGCATTTTAGTCTTAGATCTTATAACTAGTAGATCATTTATCAATCCCTTAATTCTAGTATTAACATTACCATGTGGTTACTTATTTAAAGGATCATCAGTGGGTAACCTTACTGATCTGTCATATAATAAATAAAAAGGTACTATTTTTGTAGTTAAGTATCGACTTGTATGATAAGTAAATAATACTGATACAATATAAAGATCCTACTCTTTATCATATATTATTAATTTTGTCAAGAATTTACTTAAAGTTTTATTAAATTATTCTACAAGACCATTTGTTTGTGGGTAATAAGGAATTAAAAAGTTATGTTTGATCTGGAACTTTTCCATTAGTCTTGTGATTAATTGATTATTAAAATGAGTTTCTCTATCAGATAAAATCTTTTAAAGGTATCTATATTGACATATAATATCTTCATAAATAAAATTAGCAACTTATTTTGCAGTAGCTTCTGACAAGATTCTAGTTTCAGGCCATTTAGTCATATAATTCATTGCTGTCATGATATATCTATTTTCTTTTTCTGTGATAGATAAAAGTCCTATAATATTGATTTTTATTCTATAGAATGGGTTATCTACATCTATTAGATGTAAAGGTTTTGTTTGTTTATATTTTTCTCTTTTTTGACAAAAATCACATTTTTGCATATATTCTCGTATACTTTTATACATTTGAGGCTAATAATATTGTGTTCTAATTTTATCAAATACTCTATCTATTAATAAATCTTCTAAAAGATCATTATGTATCATGTATAGTTAAGCATTTAATTCATTGATTTTTATTACTCTCAATAGTCGTTTAAGAGTAATAGCTTTTATTTATATAAAATATCAAATTTAATAATATAATTCTTTAATTGTCATTTAATTTTTATTTTTTTATTATTGTTAAAGTAGGTGATAATATTAAATAATTAAAAATGTTGGTATAATATATGTTATCCATTTTGTTGTAGAGCTGCCTATCACAATATAGACACTTTTGCTTTCACTTTAATTATTATCTTAATAATAACTGGTTTTTAATATAGAAGAACTTTGTTAAGAAGCTCTTTAAGTAAATTTTCCAATAAAATATCATTGTTTTGTTATTGTACTGCTAATAGTTCTTCTCAAAATACATCATTGCAAAGATAATTAAGATTTATACCAGATTGTATTTGTCCTAATCTATATCTTATAATATAATTATGAATAACTATCCCATAAGATAGATTTTTTTTTACAGGCTTTACAATAAGTATGAATATAATAGTTCTTAGTATTGCAATTAAAAGTATATTGTGATCCTTCTTTTATAATAGGTTATCTAGCTATATTCACGATAAATATCTTCTAATTCATTTTTAAGCGATTAGTATCAATAGTTGTAATTAATAGTTCATTTGCATATTAATGGTGTAATTGTCACTCAAACTATAATTCTTCAGGGTTAACAGTTGAATTTTCTTTTTTTGAAGAATGTTATTCAATTTCAGATTCTTTATTATAAATAGATACCATAAAGATTTTGCAAACATCTTCTTCATATTCAGGTTGTTTATCATTTATTCTTGACAAAGTATCAGCATTTGCATTGTGTTTTTTTGGTCTATATTGAATAGTATAGTTATAGGATTATAATTCTATCATCCATATGACATGTCGTCCTTTTGATATTTTTGATGTTTATAACCATTTTAATGCTGAATTATCTGTAATTAATTCAAATTTAGTTGTGCATAAGTAATGATGAAAATGTTGAATAGCTTATACTATTGCTAAACATTCTTGATCTATAACCAAATAGTATTTCTTTGCTGGAATTAAGCTTTTACTTGCATAAGCAATGGGATGTTTTTTTTCTCCTTATTCATTTGTACTAGAATAGCTCCTACACCTATTTCTGATGCATTGGTATATAAATAGAAAGTTTCATCAAAATTTGGATATTGTAGAATTGATGCATTAATTAAACAATACTTTAAACGATTAAATGCATTTTGTTTCCTTTCAGTCCATTCAAATATTTGATCTTTCTTCAATAAGGTGTTAATAGGTTTTGCAATTCGTGAGAAATCTTTAATAAATTTTCTGTTGTAAGGAAATAATCCTAAAGCTGATCAAACTTAAAGATACATCTTTTGGTATTGGTAAGTCTTTTACTTTTTCGATTTTAGCTGGGTCTGATTGAATACCATCTCTTCCAACTATATGTCCTAAAAATGTTAAGTTGGGCATGCAGAAACTACATTTCTTCAACTTAATTTTTAAATTAGTTTCTCTCAATGCTTGAAAAACTTGTTTAATATGATTGATGTATTGTTCAAAAGATTTTGAATAAATTATGATATCATCCAAATATATTGAAACAAATTTAGCTGCATAAGGTTGTAGAACATAATTCATAAGTCTTTGAAAAGTTCCTGAAGCATTGCATAATCCAAAAGGCATTATATTAAATTCATATAATCCAAAATTGGTGATGAAGGCAGTCTTTTCCTTGTCTTTTTCTTCTATTTCAACTTGCCAATAACCACTAGTTAAGTAACCAATTTGCCGTTCTAGATTCTAACATGTCATCGATTCTGGGTAAAGGATAAGCATCCTTTTTTGTTACTGCATTCAGTTTTCAATATATATAGCTTTCTTGCAATTCTCAATTTTTTTTTACGCGGTTTTTTTTACGCAATTATTTTTTTATGGTACCAACGCTAAGTTTTGAATAATCATTAATAAATTGGAACATTGATTAAACTAAAAAAAATTAAATAAGATTACTAATGAACCATCCTTTATGTATGCTAAAACAAATCAGACGAAAAGAACGACATGGATTTTGGCGTATAAATTTGTCTCAAAAGAGTCTTATTCAAAATAGCTTAATGTTGCTCTTGCTTCAACCTAATGTAAGGTTACAAATGAAAAAGCATATAAACCTTCCCGATAAACAAATAAATCCATGACCCGAGATTCTAATGATAAAGTTTTGAATTCTTTATGAATGATTCAACATTATTTGTATTATTTTATTATTACTAATTAAGGCATGATAACTATGCTACGCGTACGCCATCATGAATAAATCGTTCATAAGAGTGCTAAAGAAATTATATTTGACCTTTAATTTATGTAACATTCTGCAATTTTTTTCTGAATCGTGAGTCTTTAAGGGAATTAGTTCGTTGGAATTAATGACGTAATTTCCAAATTAAAATTTGAAGGACTATGATTATATATACTTGAAAGTTTCATTAAGTTTCATTAAAATTGTAAAATTTTTAAACCTCATATCAGAAATTTGCAGCATTAATGAATTAAAATACGAAAAGATAATATTAATCATAATAAATTTCTATATTAATTATAAATTTGTCAACTTAAGTAATTTAAATAATCTAATTTAAAAATAATTAGCGGAAATAGGTTATAAAAATCATAAAGTCTATATGGTTTTGTAAATATAATTCAGATGTCAAACATACGAGAATAAACGTTGTCTCTCCCCAAAAAGTTAAAATTTGTATTTCGAAAATGATATTATCGGTTAAAAAATTAGCATTTCGAAAATTCGATAAAAAAAATAAATTTACGATATATAATTATTGTTATTTAGAATATTCGATTTCATTATTAAGAAGAATTCGAGAGAAAAAAAAAAATTTATAACGAAAAAAAAGAGGAATAAAAAATATTTTTGAGTATTGACACTTTAGTTTTATGAGGATTAAGTTTAGAATTAGAAACAATAGGACTGATAACATGTTTCGATATTTTTTTTTTTTTAAAAAAAAAATAATGTTAACGTAATTTCAAACAAAGAGAAAGTTGTACAGAATGCGACACTGATGATAGTCATTATCATGAAGAATTTATTTCAATAAATGAAGTATAATAATAAAGAGAAAAATTAATTTGGAATTAATATAATAATTCGGAAAAAGAAATTTAAAGAAAAAAATAAAATAATAAAAATAATTTTTTTAGAGTAAATATATATTCATTCAATAAAAATTCCTGAAGGACTTTCTGTTAAATAACAATCTCTTTTCATCCCCATAGGTAAATTATTGGCTTCATTTATAGTTTGTTCTCCATTTTTTTGGTGATTACATTCTGATAAGCTGTCAGTTACAGTCGAAGGTTCTATGTGATCTCGATAATCCTGGTTTATTTTATCTTCTCTTGTCTTGGAAACATCAGATTGCGAACTAATCGCACGTACATTGATCTCATTTCGAAACGTTTGATCTCGATTCGCTTTTTCGTCCACAGGAAGTTTTTTCCACCATTCTGACACTAGCTTACTAAATTTTGTCATTGGCATATTATGCGGTTTATGCTTCATCATATCTTTCCGATACATGATGAACATATTTGGATTTCTTCTCTTTAGGCCTTTTTATGGAAGACAATGTCTCAGGTTCAATAAAATGGAACATTAATCGTAATTATTACTAGCGTCGATAAATTATTTGAGATGAAAAATGGACTTTTTTTTTTGTCGACGATAAATCGAAATTCGCAACATTTATAGAAATTTAAACCCGTTCGTGTATCATAAAATATAACGAAAACACATATTTTCATCTGACAGAAATTAGATTAAAGTTCATAATTCTGGTTCAAGTTATATTTGCGTAACACGATAATCGATTGAAAGAGCGTTAAATTAAACTTTTAGTTCAGCCATTCAAAAAAGAGATCGTTATTTGTTGTATGATCATCACAATTGGATTTAGTTAGACTTATTTATCCTCAAAAAGTTTCAATAACGAAATAATTAAATGTCTTCACAATTATGCTGAATTTGTCCTAGGCTATATCGGAAGGGATATGGATATTTACGCCTTTCGATGCGATGCATAGATAAAATAGATAAAATTAATTCCATTATATAAAGAAAAAATATGCTTTAATTACGCATTTCACTTGATTCTTTAACTGAATCTAACAAAAAAACAAAACATCTACATAATAGAAAACAGTGCCTAATCTAATAAATTATTAATCTTTTGATTGATAAAAAAGTGTCATCTCAAACTCAAATTGTAAACTTCACAAACTTTACATGCTCTGAATGTGATGACATCAATTTTAACATTAACTATAGGATAAAAATGAAAGAATAAAATAATAATAAATAAATAAATAAAATAAAATAATATTCGTATTGGTAACAATTAAAATAAAACAATAAAATTAATTTGATTTGATATTGCTGTAAATGACTTTCGATTCTATCTCAAAATTCACGACTTGTTTAATCACACCACTTTGTGTTCCTCTTTTTTTTTTCTAATATTGCTTAGCGTAAAACCGTTGTATAATACTTAAAAATTTAAAATAATTTAGCGCGTATCATTTGGTTTTGTCAAAGTGTTTTGAAAATGACTAAATATAGGCATCTAATACACGAAATTTTTCAGTATTTATTTTCAATTTTCCAACGCTTTGACAATTTAATAGACCAACCAAGAGAGAACATGAATTGTTAATGATTGGGGAAACAAAATAGTTTATCAAATAAAATAGAAAATAAATTTGAGTAAGTTTAGTCAGAAAGGACATACTTGGAAAAAGAAACGCAGACCTTATCTTGTTGGAAAAATCAAAAAAATCAACGTATCTTGATAAATATGGACAAAGCGACTCTTTCATGAAAGCTGCAAAAGGAATTGTAAAATATTTTTTAAATCTTTTAAATAAGCACGCACGGTATTACATAGATTAATATAGAAAAGGAGGAAATTATTAACAAATCACTTGATGATCAACATTTGAACTAATCTAACTTTATCTTAAATGATATTGTTCTATTATGAGATTAAATAATGTTTTATATTAATAATTTCTTTTTAATATCCTTTCTTAGAAACATGAATTATAAGCTTATTATATCATTGTGGACTAGGCCAATAAGAAAATCTAGATGCAGAACTGAACCTTGTTTATTCAAGCCTTTGATATCTTTCCATAATAAGAACGTAAGTTTCTTGAAAGACGCCAAATGAGAGTTGCTTTTTTAAAAAAAAGACAAATTTGTTTATCCCGATCTTTGTGCGATAAATAATTGATTTACAATAATAGAAAAATCAGTTATATCCATCCTTGTACGACAATTGATTGAATTATTTTGATGTTTGTACATTCGCCAATTAAATCATAAGATATTATTATCAGAGATTATTTTAACTTTATTAATCTAATTAAAAAAAAAAGTCGGTCAATTTTTGAAGTCTCAGTTTAACTAAATTCAATTGATGATGATCATCTGTGTACAACTAACTCTTCTTATCAAAGTTGAATTTGAATGGTGGAACTATAATTCTGGTTCGAATTATGTAACGAGTAATATTTATTTGTATACAACTTCAAAGATGCATTGTCTCATTTAATCATAAAAGTTTAAAACTTTAATTCTATTTTCGACAGAATGAATATTTGCCCAATAAGTTTAAATTTTTTTATAAATGTGGCGAATTTCGATTTATCGTCTTCGGGCACTCCTTCATCTTACCAAATAATTTATCGACGTTAGTAATAATGTTATATTTTATTGAACCTGAGACATTATCTTCAACCGAAAAGAGTCCAAAAAGTAGAAAACCAAAGTTCATAATGTATCGCAAAGATATTATGAAATAAAAACCCCATAATATGCTTATGACTAAATATAGCAAGTTAATATCTGCATGGTGGAAAATATTCTTGCGGAAGAAAAAGCGAGATTGCAAAGATGTTATCAAATAGATAGAGATCAAAAGAGAAATGTCAACGTACGTGCGGTCATCAATCAAATAGATAAAATAAACCAGGATTATCGAGATCAAATTGATTCGACCGATAGCTTATCAAAATGTAATTTGCAAAGACATCAAGAACATAGAGATCTAACCATAAATGAAGCCAATAATTTACCCAAGGGAATGAAGAAAGATTGTTATTTAACCGATAGTCTTTCAGAAAATTTTTAATATTAAGATTTTATTCAACAAATTTTATTCCGAATAAAATTTTCTTTTATTCGAATTATTATCGTTTTCCCTCTTACTCGAATTCTTATTTTTCTTCCAAATTATTTTTCTCGAATTTTTATTAATGCTATTGACTATACATGTCGCAAATACTTTATTGTTAAATTCTTATTTTTGAATAACGTTTTTTAAAAATATATCGATATATATCATCATCCTATTTCGAAAATCTGAACATTAATCTCAAACTTCACATATCATAATTTTTTCTTTATAGAGATTAGTGTTTTATGCTTTAAATACATTATTGCTAATGATATTATTGAGTTTCAAACAATGTTTAATATACACATTTTGATAACGAATTTTTTGGGAATCTAAAATCTTAAGATTTATTTTTTGCAAGTTAAATGTTATTCTAAAATATGTACCCTTTCACATTATTCTATGATTTAATTTTTATGATTATTTGTATTAAGTTGAATCGGATTATTTAAGATTATTAAGTTGATGAAAGTGTAAGTTTTTTTTTTTTTTAGAAATATTTCTACTTTTTTTATTATTATTAAAAATTTTAAAAAGCAATTATTATATTATAAATATCAAGGAAAATTAAAATCGATCAATGAGCAAATTTAATTTGAAAATTACTGTTAACTTAAAGTAAGGCACCGATTTAGAAAAAAAAATTGCCTATTTAAAGGCGAAAGAAAAAATTTCTTTTCTTACAGAACTAGTACAAAAGATGTTGCCGTGTAAAACAAATTCATGCTTTTCTCTGTATAAAGTTGGTTAAGTAATACGACATAAAATTAGGGATTGGAATCGATCCATAATTTTCCGCGTCAAAATATCTACCTCTCCTTAACATGCGTCATTTTTTTGACTATAACAAAGAAGTTATTGGAGAAAAATATTAACACAAGCAAAAAGCAATAAATATAATTTTATTGAATATTAAAAGCTAATTGTTTTTCTTTCTTAATTTGTTTATTAAGTAGCAATACATATAAATTAAAAACAATTTTGCCATATAAATTTAACATTTGATGCAATTTGTAAAGATTTCACACATATCATTATCAACTTGTGGTATACTTTCAAATCTTGCAAATCTTGCTCTTTTTATTTAAACAGCTTGCTTAAATACTTCTTGTAAACTTCAAATATTTTGTACTGTTTTTCTTTCTATTCTTCAATAATTATAACATATTCCTTTGCAATTTTAATATTTCATTATTTTTATTACTATTTTGATTTATATAATATTATGAGAGTCAAAAGAAAATTGAAGTTTTATGTCTTAGTATGATTATTCTTCTATATTATCAGTATAAAGTTAAGCTAAAATAACAAATATATATTTATACGATAATTGTCATATTTTAAAATTATGACAAGTGTAAACATATGAAAAAATATCTAATTCATCTTCATTAGAATCTTTTCTTTAAATAGAATATTCAATATTATCATTCATTATAGAATTTACAATCTAAATACCTAGTTGCAATCTATAATATTCTTCTTATTTACACATTTAGTTTCTATAATTTCCTGAAAATATTTTTATTTTTGTCTTAAATTCATTTGTCTAATATTCAACTTATTCAAAAAATCAATAAATTGATATCTTTAAATACAACTTCTATAAGTAAAAATACTTCTCTATTAATTTGATATCCTGGATGGCCTTTTATATATATATTTTAGTTTATTATAAAATAAATCAATTTAATTAAGTTAATTATTAGAAATAATTTATTTTTAGCTAAACCTTTAGTATATACTATTTGTATATCATATTTTAGCTTTTATTATTACTCAAAGTAGTTAGCAAACTTTTTATTATTTAATATTTATCTTTTATCATATAGCAATTATTATTGTTATTTATTCATATCTTTCAATATAATTCTATTCTTCTATTTTTATTAATTACCAAAGATGTTTCCAAATAATTTCTAATACTTAGAAAAATATCTGAAAAAAAAACAAATTTATTATTTAAAATTTTATGTATAAAAATTAAAATAAATAAAATTATTAATATTTAAGAGATGTTTGATTATTTTTTTATAATTTGTCTAAGTATAAGATCATTATCTTTATTTATAAAATTTAGTTTTTAGCATTTGATCTATTATTAAAATTAGAATATTATATAATTATATCTATAATAGTACTTTTTAAAACTTTAAAATATATGTAATAGTTTTTTAAATCCTTTCTGCTAATATTTAAAGTTTTTTAATTATCGATATTTTTCATATTGAATAGTGCAAATTTTAAAAAATAAAATCAGAATTATTTTATGTTATTGTTTATTAAATCTGATATATATATTATTAAATAAATATATATATATATATATTATTATCAAAACTAAGTAAGTTATCTAAAAAAAAATTTATTTAGTTGATATGTTCAATCTTAAAAAATTTAAAAAAAATTTGGCTAGATACTTTTTTGAAAGTAGTATAGATTTACATTTTTGACTAAATATTTTGTATTATAATTACAAAATATAAAATAATATAATAGTATTAAACTATTAGAAAAGTATTCTTTAACTACCTTCTTTTTTTTTAAAAAATAAGAAAAGAAAATAAAATAAATATTTTTTCTCCTATATTATTAACTATATTATAATTTATACCTTTGTTTTAGAAAATTAAAGTTAATATTTTAATGTTGATATTTGTTTATTAAAAATGCTATTAGATATCTGCTTCACATTATCAAATATCAAATAATAAAAGTAAAAATATCATATGTATTTTCTATATACAATATTCTTGAGGATTATATTAAATTTTCTGATCTTTTATTTAAAATCTGAAAATAAATTTATTTTATCTGTTTTATTATGCTATTCAAATAGTTAATTACCTCTCACATTAATTAACTTATTTTATTATGCTATTCAAATAGTTAATTATCTCTCATATTAATTAACTTATTTTGCTATTTTTTTAAAAAGTTTAACTCATTATTAATCAAAATATATGAGTTTTTTATTATATTATATACAATGTGATTAAGTAAATATCATCTTTTATTATTAAACTATTTTATAACAGTTAAATATTCTATTTAACATATTTAAATATCTTTTAGAATTTTTAGCTAAATCCAAAGTTAATTATCTTAAACTATTAGAACTTCTATATATAATATTATCAAGATTTTTAAATATACATTACTAAACAAAATATCTAATGTTTTTAGAAAAACATAATATATATAAATTTAATAAATTTTTAAGATAATAATTAGTATACTTATAGTAATAATGTAGAATCATTATTAAGAAATTAATAGAAAGTATAATATAAATATAACTTTTGCAATTATACTACCTTTTCATTTCTTTTTATATTTATCATAGTTTTATTTGAATTCTCTTTAATAATACATTTATATTTCCTATAATAGTATAGTAATACTATTTGATTTATCAGAATTTCTTTCTAACTCTACCTAATTAATTTTAATAATTATTTACAAATATAATCAAATTTTAACATTTTAAGATTTTTAATCCATTTTTCATATTTTTTACCAGAAATATATGGATTTTAAATCTCTCTCTGATATTATATTATTATCCTTTATTACTTCTTATATATAATTAATATCATTTATCACATCTAAAATTAAGTTAATATTACTGTTACTTATCTTTATAACTATTTCTTCAACTTTTTATTAATATCAAAGATTGTATTAATAGTATAATTTATTAATATTATAAGCTATAATATATAAAAAGTACTAATTCATTATGAAAAACTAAATTAAATATTACAAAGATTTTAAAGAATATTATTTAATATTATAGTAATAATAATATTATTTATTAAAATATAATAAAAAATACATATGAAAAAGCTATGCATTTTTTATTACAAATAAAAATCTTAATAAATGTATAGATAATGAATTACTAATATTATTTTTATAATAATAATAAAAAAATTCTTAAGAAAAATTTCTTGAAAAAAAGTTTTTTTTTTTGAAATAAAGAAAATATTTTATTTATTATATTTAAGAAATTTAGAAAAAAGATTCTAATTTACTTTTTACTTATATGAATCAAACAAACAATCAATTAGTTTATATATCATAAAATCAATATTTGATAATAGTCATAATCAATAATTTTAAAAAATATATTAAGACTATTTAGTTTCATAATATTTAACAGGTAGTATATTAACACTGTTACAATAGTTTCATAACTTCAAATAAAGTCTTAAAAGGGTAAATAAAACTAAGACAATTATTTAAGGAATTATGGGTGAGGATTTACAATATTGTCGAAGAATTATTTTTAATATAAAACACATGAGATAAATACAAAATAACATAGATAACTCAAAAATATTTTAAAGATTATGCTTCAGAGACTCTAAGTTAATACAGTGAATTAATACAATATTATATAATAAGTTTATTAATAAAAGGAATTGCACAAATGTAAAAGATCACAGATAATTTATAACAGTTTCAAATAGTTTAGGAAGAATAAGTTTTATACTTGGTTAATTATACTCCTTTATTAATATAATATATAAGTTCAGTACTTAAAAGATTAATATCTCATCAGTAGTTAGGGATGGGAAAGTTCTAAATGGAATGACTCAGAGTCAGTTCTAGAACTGAACGTCAGTTCTACTCTTGAGTCGAATTGAAAAGTTAAAGTAGAACAATTAGTTCTAAGAGAACTGATTATCTTGAGTCAGTTCTATTTAAATTTATAATATTAGTATTTAGTTATTTTAAGATAAAAATAAATAAGATAAAAATAAAAAAATAAATTTATGACTTATAATTTTTGTAACACAGTAATTTTGATCAATAACGACAATTTTTGTAATGGCAATTTTTGTAACAGTAATTTTGTAGCACTAATTTTTGTAACAATAATATTTGTATTGGCTATTTTTAAATAGTAATTTTGTAGTGGCAATTACTAAAATAATAATTTTGTAACA